GTGAGTGAGTGAGTGAGTGAGTGAGTGAGTGAGTGAGTGAGTGAGTGAGTGAGTGAGTGAGTGAGTGAGTGAGTGAGTGAGCGAGTGAGCAAGTAAGTAAACTTTATTTCTATAGCACCTTTCACAGACAAACATCACAAAGTGCTTCACAGAAAGCAAAAATAATTAAAAGCAATAAAACAGATCAGATATAAAAACAACAATTAAAACACAATAAAAAGCACTTAACTAAAAGCCTGTCTGAATAAAAATGTCTTAAGATGTTTCTTAAAAGAGTCAGTAGAATCTGAGCAGCGAAGGGACAGAGGGAGAGCGTTCCAGAGCCTCGGGGCCACCACCTGAAAAGCTTTGTCTCCACAGGTTTTATAATGGGTTCGAGGGACTATCAGCAGCATTTGATTAGAAGACCTCAAAGTCCTGGATGGAAAGAGAGGCTACAGTATGTATTTGGGGGCCTGACCATGAAGTGCTCTGAAAGTTAAAACCAAAATTTTAAAATGACTCCTCAAATGCTCAGGGAGCCAGTGCAGCAAGGCTAAACCAGGTGTAATATGGGCTCTCCTGTGGGTCTTTGTTAATAACCTCGCTGCAGTGTTCTGCACAGACTGAAGCCGAGTCAAGGATTTGTTTAGACATGTAAAAAGACTGTTGCAGTAATCTAAATGAGAAGAAATAAAAGCGTGAACAACCATCTCTAGTTCCTTCTGTGACACWAAAGATCTCAGCTTTGAAATGTTCCTTAAATGATAAAAACAGTTACGAACTAAAGTTTTACAATGGCTGTCAAAAGACATAGAACTATCAAAGACAACACCCAGATTTCTGAGACTRTTTTTCACTGAAGGGTTAAAAAAGCAAGGTGCTGTCTGATTACAGGGATTTTATCATCAGGGGTGATGAGAGTTTCAATCTTGTTTGCATTTAACTGTAGGTAGTTGTTGTTCAGCCATATTTTGACTTCTGACAGTTAACGAGTTCAGATAGTTTGAAGAACTCGGAGGGTCGAAAGGAACAGTACAACTGTATGTCATCAGCATACAGATGGTAGGACACATTACTGTAACATTTTAAAATACCTCCTAAAGGGTATAGGTACAATAAGAAAAGGATTGGGCCCAAAACTGAACCTTGGGGTACCCCACAAGACAGCGGTGCAACATCAGAGTAAACCTGATTCATAAAAACAGTAAAAGACCATTCAGATAAATAAGAGGTGAACCAGTTTAAAAGAGAGSCAGAATCTATACACCCGAGATGAGTATCGCTGTCCAACAGTTCTAACCAAAATACAGTCAGTCTCTCAAGAAGAGCTTTGTCTGAAAAACAAAGGAAAAACATTAACACTTCAATGATTAGAATGGCATCTGCGTTGTTGAGATATACTGACATCATTCATAATGACAAAAAATATATATATTAAGTTCATGAATGTGTTTTTTTTCTGAAAATAAATCTGAAGAATAATATGTCTGCATGCTGTATCTGATTAACTGTTGAAAGACAATAACAGAAGACAGTCAAAAGTAAACTTTAAAATAGCTTTTAAGGAAAATTCAGTTCTAGAACATGAGATCATCGCAGAGGGGTCCTTTATGATACAACTTCCCACCTGAAATACACATAATTTTCTGCTGATGCAGACTGCAAGTAATCTTATATTTTTAGCTCCAAAAGAAGACTTTAATTTACAAACAAAAGTGCCCTGCATTTCTTTCTGAAAGTGATGCAAAAATAAACAAGTCAGGCTTAAAAATGACCAGAAAGAAATATCAAAAAACATCCACGAGTTTCAATTTAGGGCAAATCAGATTTTATAAAAGAGTGCGCTATTCAGAGAGCTGCCAAAAAAGATATTTTCCGTGCGTAAAGATCAAGCGCATAGTCTGATGAAGGAATGGCGCTGTTGCCTTCAGTCACATGTAGAGGATCTTTGAGCAAAATGTCAAACAGTAAAATAAATGTCTGCTTGCTGTAGTTTGTCTGGTCGTTACTGGAAGATCCCTCAGAATCTGTAACCTGAAACTAGGTGAGACTTTAACGGAGACGCGCGGAAGTTGCGCAGAAATGCGCAATACGCAAAGGACGAGTGGATCGAGGTTATGTTGTTAAATAAAATAGCCTGTATCAAATAAAATATTTCAAATTTCATCTCCAAATGAAACACTGGCTTGGCTGGGGCGCGTCATGCTCGATCATCTCTGCTTCTTGCTGTTCAGAAGCGCGCAGCTCTGAGGTGGAGGAGGAGTTTGATGAAGTCACTCAGCATCTTTTCTTGCAATTACCCGAACAATTCACACCAGTTCCTAACAGCAGCAGCCACATCCTGCTGCTCAGGAAGGTGTGCGGTGCTGAGTGAACCAGTGGCCGCTTCGAGGGTCAAAAACCATGAACTGGAAGCGCAGCGAGTTCCTGAACCTGGATCCACGAGAGGAGCTGCTTGGATAACAGGCTGGAGCACTTGAGTTGTTTTTCCTCATGGACAAACGCGCCGTCTCTCCTCACTGCTGCCTGCGATTATTGGACTTTTTACTCAACAAAAGAGGAATAAATGACATTTCATTAAGAAGTTCAGGTTTGTTGAGCGATCAGTGCTTTGATGAGTTTTATGAAACAGCAAACATGGAATTATAAACTGATAAAAACTCAAACTTCCTGTTTAAAATCTCTCACGCAGCCTGAACTCTTAGTTATCACAGATGTCAGAGATGGATCTGGCCAACGGCTCCCTGTATCACCCTTCCATTCTCCACTGGGACTTCAGCCCTCCGAGTGATTTCATGGATGATAATGAGACGAACTCCACAGCCGGAGAGGGAAACCTGCTGGGCTGCGTTCAGCTCCGCATCCCTCAGGAGCTGTTCCTGGCGCTGGGACTGATCAGCCTGGTGGAAAACATCCTGGTGATCCTGGCCATCATCAAGAACCGCAACCTGCACTCGCCCATGTACTACTTCATCTGCTGCCTGGCCGTGTCCGACATGCTGGTCAGCGTCAGCAACGTGGTGGAGACCGTCTTCATGCTCCTCACGGACCACGGCCTCCTGGACGTGCACCCCGGCATGCTGCGTCACCTGGACAACGTCATCGACGTGATGATCTGCAGCTCGGTGGTGTCCTCGCTCTCCTTCCTGTGCACCATCGCGGCGGACCGCTACGTCACCATCTTTTACGCGCTGCGGTACCACAGCATCATGACCACGCAGCGCGCCGTGGCCATCATCGCCGTGGTGTGGCTGGCCAGCGTCACCTCCAGCATCCTCTTCATCGTCTACCACACCGACAACGCCGTCATCGTCTGCCTCGTCACCTTCTTCTGCACCACCCTGGTGTTCAACGCCGTGCTCTACCTGCACATGTTCCTGCTGGCGCACGTGCACTCGCGGCGCATCACCGCCTTCAACAAAGGCAGGCGCCACTCCACGAGCATGAAGGGAGCGGTCACCCTCACCATCCTGCTCGGGGTCTTCATCGTGTGTTGGGGCCCCTTCTTCCTCCACCTCATCCTCATCCTCGCCTGCCCCAGCAGCCCCTTCTGCAACTGTTTCTTTCGAAACTTTAACCTTTTCCTCATCCTCATCATCTGCAACTCGCTCATCGATCCGCTCATTTACGCGTACCGGAGCCAGGAGCTGCGTAAAACCCTGAAGGAGCTGCTGCTGTGCGCCTGGTGCTTCGGCGTGTAGTTTGGACATTTTAGGAGAAAACTGGCGCAAATTGTGGATACTGCTCACAGAGGGTGAAATAAAGCATGAATGGTACTTGCTGTTTTACTGCATTTGAAAGTAACTGTATTCTATTAGAGGTTTTTGCTCGTTGTCTGGCATCAATTTCTATTTTTATTGTGACTTTACTGTTTGTCTCAACACTGGGAAACGTCTGAACTTTTATATCTTGTAAAATGTTCTCTCAGGTTGAYCATTAGCCATTGGAGACCTCAGGAGTCTCTGGACTTCATCTAAAAAAATAAAAATGGGGTTTACATGTCATGTTTGATTTTCTGCCTGAAAGATGCCTTTCTTCTGGAGCCCTCGAGAAAAGAACAGTGAAAGAATTCTCCCTAAGAAATAAGCATGAACCACTTTTTAGGCACATGACAAAAATAACCTCTGAAGGCTTTGAAGTATTTGTGGCATGTAAAAATAAAAATTCTCGCCAGGTTTTGGAGATAATTGTATTATAGGCCTATTTAATTTTAATTTTAATTTTATTTTAGGTTTTTTTTTTTTGCTTTAGATTGAAACATCCAGACTGAATTCAAACTGATTTTTGTACAAGAAAGAAAGAAAGAAASAAASAAAGAAACAAAGAAACAAAGAAGGCAAACAAGAATAGCTGATGCTAAAGGTTTTAACAAAAAGCAGTATGGCTCTTGTACTAAACAAACAAATAAATGAATAAAAGAGTCCGACCTTTCTGCGCCATCTTCACAAAGCGCTCGCAGTCTTTTTTGGTGGTTTAGTTGCGTGTGAACCAGTGTCTCAAAAAAATAGAAAAATGAGGAAAATAAACAAAATGGACACGATGGGAAAATTAATCACATGAATGAAGCCTGAGGCTCATTGTGGCATGAGACGTTTTGGGAAAGCATAAAAAAAATTAGATCTGCAAAATCCAAAGCAACGGAGGCAGATCCGGTGTTACGCCAAGACAGTTATCCATACAAATTTGTGCCCTTGCGCACAAATTTGGAAAACAGAAGTTCACAGAATTATCTACCACCCCCCCACACACACACATTTTTATGAAACTTATGGGGTTGTTAATTATACCAAATGCACTGTAAAAAATGAAATGTTGGATTTGCGTAACCATGTTATGTGACCTGGATCCACTTAACTGAGTTGAGTAAATTCAAAGCAATATACCAGTTTTTTAACCAAAGAACATGAGTATGTTGCTTTGAATTTACTCAACTCAGTCAAGTGGAACCAGGTCACATAACATGGTGAAGTAAATCCAACATTTCATTTTTAGAGTGTGGAATGTAACAAGTTTCTAAAGTTTTTTAAGTACCTCCATCACCCAGTATAGAAATGTAGGCCTACATGTCCCATTGGGAATACATTCATACCATATGTTTTAAAAATGTCAGAATTTTTTATTCTTCTATTTATTTAAATATGATTTAAAACGAACAACAGAAAATAGAAAAACTTAATGAGCAAAACCGACTCAGCAGGTGATTAATTTGTCATTGTGACATCTGACACATGGTTTTTTTTCTGTATTTAGAGTTTATTGCCTGATGTAGCAATATTCTATATAAAATTGTCTTAAAAATTATGTCAGACTAAATGACACATGTTATATAAGGATCAGAACAGCTGTAAGAGACAACAAAGTTTCTAAAATTAGTGGTCACATTAGTTGCCCAGATGCATCGTCTTTGGAAATGAAAACTTGAGTCCATGTCTTTGAATCAGGATGTTAAGATGTCACATAGGGACTTCATGAGTTAAATGTCAATGTTTAAACCTTAATAAGAAACTTTTCTCAGTGTTAAAAGGGACAGTGATGCCTGCACCATGGATCATTAAGGCTGATTGTTGCTGTGAATTTTAAAATGTTTTTTTAGTTAGAAGGGGACACAGATTCTCAGGCTGAGTCAGCAGATTTGCCAGAATCGACAAGTGAAATTTGCTCCTCCTGTAAGCAGCACACTCAGAGGCTGACATTTGTTGTTAACAGTGAGAGGGAAAAAATGATTGAGAATAATAACATGAAAAATATAAACCATTTGCTTGAACAGGCATTAACAACTGCTGCCTTTTCACATTTATTGCCAAAAGTTATGATCCTGCAAAACCACTAATACCACAGCCCTAAAGTTTGACATCAGGGTCTTTATGCTTCAGCCACAGCCCAACTTGGTGAACACAAACTCTGCCGTCAGCAGTGTTCTCCAGATGAACTCACAGCAGGGGGTTGCAGGAGGGGGACCTGYTCACAGGACCACTTTTAGAGGTGCAGGTTTAAAGGAAATCTTYATGTTTAAGTTTTCCTTTTGTTTTCTTAAAATATATTTTTTATATTCACACTGTTATTTAGAAAATAATTATTATCAGATTAAGACAGCAACAGGCTATTTGTTTAAGTTTTCCTTTTGTTTTCTTAAAATATATTTTTTATATTCACACTGTTATTTAGAAAATAATTATTATCAGAATAAGACAGCAACAGGCTATTTGTTTGCTGCTTGTCAGATGTATCAGACCGTGGGGTCAGAATCTGTTATTTAAAAATAAACTGTTGTTTTACTTTTAAAATCACAAAAAACTGAGATTTATTGAATATTAAGGTAAAAAATGTAGGTATTGTCTGGATGTTTTTTTATTGGAGTTGTTTTTTGTGTTGGTCCTTGTGTTTCTGCTCTCTCAGCCTGTACCACGTCCAGTTACACCTGATCCCAGTTGTATTAGTTCACAGCTGCAGCCACTCTTCCTATCAGCCCCAGTCCARTCTTTCTGTTTCACTTCACTCACCTGTCGATCATTGTTGGTATTTCTTGTCAAGTGTCCTTCTTGCCTTCTTGTGCCTCCAGCTTTGTATTTTTTTCTGTCTCGACAGCCTTTGTTTTCTTAAAATAAAGTTTAATTTTAGTTTAACTAAAACTCAGTGCATCAGTCTTCATCCTTGAGTCGAACCACTTCCTGAAACTGGGACAGATCTCACCGCAATGTTAAATTGTCTCTGCGTTTGGATTTTTCTTACTAATGTATTTTAGAAACGATAAAAGACTTTTTTGAAATTCTATTAAAAACAAGCAAACAAGCACACACTTTTAATTTTCTCATTTTAAAACATTGAGCTACTGGRACATTACAAAAAGACTAAAATGAAACAATTCGAACTGAACGGATTTTCTTAAAATAAGAAATGTAAAGAAAAATGCATCTGTGCATTTGCAACAAACATTCTTTGATTAAATTGGCTTGGTGATTGTTTAAAATTTATTGTAAATAAATGTGTTGCAAAGTGATTTTTGTGAAGGAGTTGAAAAAAAACTGAATGCCTTTGCTACAATAAACATAATTCTTCATTATTGTTTTTACACAAGAGGGTATGTTTTCTTTCTGCAGTGTGACAGTTTGCACCCCCTGAACAACAGAAAAAACATTATTAACAACCACATTGCTATGGAAAACATGTCAATCATTGTCTCATGTGTTTTGTCTCAAAGGCCTTTTCATGGAATCCCTTTAAATTTTTAGGCCAACTAGGGGATTTGGCAGTGACTGATTTGGTAAATAGACTACAGGAAAGAATAATAACAAGGTTAMGGTTGGCTCAKTCRGGACTTAATGCAACTTTACATATAATGGGGAAACATGATACAGGAAGATGTGTTTTGTGGGGAAATTGAAACTGTAGAGCAGTGGCTCCCAAACTTTTTATCTTCTGACCCACAAAATATCCATGGCAAAAACTTGTGACCCCAAATATTATTACTGGTCTGAGTATAAAAGCTTTGTTAATAACCCTAAAAATACAGGCTTTTTGACAATATAAACAGCTTGTACACAAATATTAATACTTATCTTTACTTATTTTGTGGTTTTTGTTTTTAATTATAGGGAAAATATTACATCAGCAATTATTTTATTACCCTTTAAATTGATTTCTGGAGATTATCCAAGGTGCTTCATGACCCATAATTGGGTCCCAAGCCCAACTTTGGGAACCAGAGTGCAGTGGTTCCCAAACTTTTCAGCTTTTGACCCACAAAACAACAATAGCAGAGACCTGTACCCAACTATTTTTGGCTGATAAACATTTGTATCAGGTCAACAAAACATGGGCATAGTAACAATTTATCCATTTTAAGTATACTAACCTCACTCCTTTGTAACAACTAGGTCAAAAAATGTAATTAATTCAGAAAATCTTGTCAGGACCCCACCTTGATGTTTCGGGACCCCACTTTGGGTCCCGACCCCAGCTTTGGGAAACACTGCTGTAGAGCATGTCATGTCAACCTGTAGGAAGTACCAGAAAGAAAGAACTGAAATGATAAGATGTCTTGAACGAGAAAAAGAGCAATATAATCTTTTAAAGTTATTAGAAAAAGATATTTTGATGCAAGTTATAAGATTATGTTTCATTATCTAATAGTAACGGGGTTAATTAAAAGAATCTAGATTTGTTTTTTGCTTGCTATTCCTGGTTCACACTCCTTACCGGTGGTGGCGGTAATGCACAAATGTTGTTTGCCAACCACCATAAAAAACAAGTGGAAGAAGAAGAATAGCTTTTTTTTTTTTTAAATAAATTGACGCCTCTTCGCTTGTGATGTTGCTGATGACAGGAGCAAAACACACGTACAGCTGTTTATCTAAAAGCACATTCTGTTACACCAGTAACTTAACAGCTGCTTGTTGCCMGATGTTTATACGGTGGGTAAGCTTCCGAAGAAAGTTGTGCTTTAACGTAGCTAATAAAAGCATTTAAAATAGCAGTATTCTAAAGCTGGTTAGCATGTTAGCAACATAGCTRGTTGTTGACTGTCGTTTTGTCAGCACAGGCTTGTTGTATGTGATATCATGCAGTGTATTCGTAGGTCGGGTATGATTGCGGTTTGTAGAGGAGTACAGCCTTTTAATCAGGAAGCCAGACTTGTTTTTTAATTGATGTGAAGAGGTTTCCAATTAGCATCTCTCAAGGTGTCCTGATTTTATAGCATTTTCTTGCATCTGTCCTTATTTCCATGTGGCGACGAAAAAAAAATATAAAGAAATTGTCGAAATTCTCCTGCATGCAGTTTGCTATTAATCTGGAAAAAAAATTCTTTCTTTTTTATTACTATTTTAGGTTATGCATGATTGAAAAACAATTCTTTAAATTGTGGAAAACACTTAAAGGGATCCATGATTAGTTGGACTTTATTTAATAAACATATATTTTAACTGTAAAATAAAGACTGTAAAAATACTGTCGGCTGTTTAGGTTTTATAATTTTTAAACAAAGTTTAAAAAGATATTACACAGA